GTTGGTTCATTCATTGGTTTGTTGGTTCATTCTATGGTTTGTTTGTTGGTTAGTTGGTTGTTGGATTATTCATTGGTTTGTTTGTTGTTTGGTTGTTCAGTTTTTTTTTTCATTTACCCTTTATTTATACTGGTAGTCTCATTGAGCCATGAGAACTCATTTTAAAGAAAGACATTTTTAGGGAGAATATGTGGGGTTAAGGGCCTTTCTCGTGGGGTTAAGGGCCTTTCTCGTGGGCCCAGGGTGGGGCAAGTGTCGGTGTTTCACCTTCTCCACCCACATTTTTTTTTTATGTTGTCAGTACTGGGGCGTAAACTGGCGATCTTCCGATCACAGGCCCACCTCTCTAACCTCTGCGCCACCACTCCCCCTAGTTGGTTCGTTGGTTGGTTCTTTCATTCATTTGTTCATTCTAAATAAAAGTTTAGGTTAATGTGGCCCAAACTGCAATGTGTGCCCAAACAAAACTTATACAAAATGACCGGCTCAGCAGCGTGAGGTTTGCTATTACTTTTATTGGCATTTCAAGTTACCATGATGATGTCATCTGTAAACAAAGACACCATTTTTCTCATTGAAAAATACTGACAGATCTCTTATCTTAAATGGATTTATCTCATTTATTTTTACACATATGATGCTGAAATTTGCTGTGGTTATAGCTGAAAACGTTCCCCATCACATACTGAATCCAAATCAAAATCCAACATGGCCTCCATAGCTTAAAAGAAAAAAATGACTATAACTCATTGATTTTTTGCCACGTTGAGCTGAAATTTGGTATGATGTATCTGAGAGCAAACCCCAACAAATATTACTGTCAAATCAAAATTTTATACGGCTGCAACGCAACACTCCCTGTCAAATTTTCTCCAGGAACTTTTCTAGTGACTGATTATAATTCACGCCGGAAATCGACTTCAAGCTGCACTTCAGACAGAAATCATTGTTTATGATGTATATTGTATTACAAATATTCATGTTGGTCTTTCAAAGTGTGAAAAAGGTACAATTTGCAAGAATATGAAAGGAAGCGTAGTTTTTTTTTTTCCAGTATGCAAATAAAAATGAATAAATAAATAAATCTGCTACCATATTGTTTGATTTTAGCTATTTAAAAATATTATAAAATTTAGATTTAAACGTTAGATTCTGGATTCATTTTCATTTCTCTCTTGTTTCAGCAAAACATGTTTTGTCTGTTTCTTCAGACGGTAATCCTTAAGACCACTTCTTCAATAAGCTGTTTGGAAACCACTTCATGTCTGTGCTGAGTTTGTTTCTGTTCCTGAATCAGTTCAGTTCTTGCGTGTCCCCGTTGTTTTCTGTCGCTCTTAGGCCACTTTTAATTTTAATTATTTACCATTGTGCTCTTTACTTGACAAGACGACTGCAGAAGGTCCCGACAGCCACACATTCAAACACTCAGCAGAAAATACGTAGCAGCAACTTATAGAAACTGTTTTTAAATTAAACATTAATGTCAGTTCACAGCTTCTGCAACATTTTGAAGTTGCCACTTTTAGTTTAAGCATGAAGTTTATTTTGCACTAAATGAATTTTTAAAACTACTTCCGGAGCAAACTACAGTAAATTAAGGAATAAAATATTTCTGAGCTGCAAGAAAGTAAATGATCATCTAATTTCAGTAACATATTACCCTCTAACTATTTCTTTGTCTAAAACATTACCCTGAACAGATTTTTTGTCCTTGTTTAATTGTTTATAAGTTAAAGTCATTTATCTTCCATTCTCCCAGTCAAACCAGCTCCTTTGGACATCAGTCCAGTTCCTCAGGACTGGCAGGAAGTTCCGCCGCCTGTGCGCTCCCCTGTCACCCGAACCTTCACGCGGGGGTAAGTGTGACAACATGAGAGCATACATATCTTAACAAGGGGTCAGAGTTATGCTGCTGCATGAAAAGAATGGGAAAAATAAATAATTAAAATGATTAAACACAGTGAGAAGCTTTAGCTTTGCTGTTTTCTGCTGCCACCTCGTGGTGATATTCTGGTAGTGCATGCTGTAAAGTAGAAGAGAGAATGAAGAAGTTAGGAGAGATGAGGGGACAAGGCATTTTCCAAGTAAAAGGAGCATCAAAGATCTGCAAACATATCTGCATAAAGAGTTAGGGTTAGCTGTGGCTGAGTGGTTCATCCACTGGGAGAGTTGGGGGTTCGATTCCACCAGCAGTCACATGTTGAAATGTCCCTGGGCAAGACACTGATGTGTCCCATGAGTGTATGAATGTTGTCTAAATACTTATTAGTCTTTGTAGAGAGTCTGTTTTTACATTAGATCACTAGGGGGAGTTGGGAGGTTCTGTTATTAACATACAATATGCACGTTAAAACACGTTAATCGTTTGAATCAGTTTTTATTCACACAAAAACACATTTTCTGCTGTGACAGGCTAAACATACCGGCAGCGATCTGTGCAAATAAATTGGGTACTGCATAATTAAAGGGGAAGGGGGCACAGAGTTTTTTCTTTTTGTTTTCCAGATGGACAAAATGGACCATGGCTGCCCTTGGAGTCAAAAAGAGAAGTTCAGGTTCTACAAACTGATTAACATCTATTAGATAAGAACGCTTTCTTGCATTAGGACGCCTCCTGCAATCGTTGAATCGTATATTTAGAGCACTAACTCAGACAAAAGTTTGGAATTTCCATTATGTCACATTTCACCACTCCAGGGGGATGCTGAAGTCCTAGGCAGATGTCCCGGGCTGAGTCAGGAAACCTGAGGGTGGCAGGTCTCACGCTATAGCCTGTAGGCATCTCCCGCCAACATATAAGGAGTAGTTTACATTCAACCAGAGGAAAAATGATTATTTGCTTGCATATCTGGCGATATCGAACTGGGAGTTTTTATTTCGAAGAACCCTCCGGGCCCCACGAACCAGGGGGAGTTGTTAAGATATTTTTAGACTGGTACTATGGTTTTGATCTGCTCAGAGACGGGATTATAATGAAATTATGGCCCGGTTCTGACTGGGTTAAACTGAGCCAGCAACTCTAAAAAAAAGAGTCTCCCAGGGATTCAATATCTGTCAAGGAATAGAGTTTATTTCTGCTTGCTACATCACGTAGGAAGGCTTTTGAAGCACCGTCTCATATTTCCTTTCACGTCAGAACCACATAAGATCCATCGAGATCACACTTAGTCACGCCCCCTCATACACGGACAGGTTGAGCTCCCCTTCTGCGAAGAAGAAGTCTAGGACCCTATAAATGAGTAATGACACGGGACATCAGCCTTTTCCGGTTGCTGCTCGTGTCGAACTGTCCCGGGAAGGCCAGCGCTGTAAACTGTAGCATTTTCCTGCCTTGTTTTAATATAATGGATAAAATTAAATTGACGTTTCCTGGATTTATTGGTATTTTGGTTTACCACTTCTGAGGGAGGTCCGAGCTGGGGGAAGAGACGTGGGCTGGTGGGGGTTTCCAGGTCCGGTGACCCGCAGCCAGCTCTCGTCTTTAACAGTAGAGCGCTGTATGAACAAGCAAATGAGGACAGATTGTGTTGTAAAGAGTTTTGAGTATCTTGAATAGATAGAAAGGTGCTATATAAGTACAGAACATTTACCATTTACCTAAGAAGTGTCACAAATAAAATACATTTCACAGACAGATTGGTCCCACCAGTGCTATAATACAAACACAACTACATCATGTGAAAACCTCTAACATAAAAAAGTACATTGTTTTTTTGTAACGTTGTGAACTGTTCGTGCGTCTCTTTGTGTGTTTCAGTCCGTTCAGTCGCCGGTCAGACCGGCCAATCTCTGCTCAGAGCTCCTCCCCCTCCTCAGACTCTGACGACCTCGACGACAGCTACGTCACCATGACGACGTCAAACTTCAGCTTCAGTGCAGAGGAGACAGTAAGATGCTGTTCTTTATTTATCGTGTTGCTTCGTTTCCATTTATCTCATTTCTGTGCTGATGTGCACGGGAGGCCCGGGCCAGTTAATCACTTAATTAGCTAAATGATTAATTTGTTGCGTTTGTTGAAATAAAAAAATAAATAAAAACATGTGTGTTTGTGTTTGCAGTCTCTAAGGCTGATGCTGCACCGAGCCTCTGAGGGCGGAGTGAGCAGCCCGCTGTTACACCGAGCCAAAGCTGACAAACAGGTGGAGTATCTGGACCTGGACCTTCACACCGGACGTTCAACACCAGCAAGACAGGTGCCAGTGGCTCTCACACACACACACACACACACACGTGAATAAATAAATAATAAACATGTTTAATGGCACTAAATCACCATCTGTCTCATTAACTGTAGCATTTTGTCTAAAAATAAGGTTTTTATCATCTCTTCTCATCAAATTTTACATAATGAGTGAAATTCCTACATTTCTTTGTGTCTCTGTCCAAAGAAACGCTGCACGGCCGATGGTCGCACCAGCAGCGCTGAGCTGGGTGGAGCCGGCGAGGAGCGTGCACGAGGGCAGTGCACGCGTGTGGACTACGTTGTTGTGGACCCCAAAAGGACTAAGGCCTTGAAGAACACCCGGGAAGCGTGGCACGACGGGAGGATGTCTACAGAGAAGGAGAAAAGCTGAACGAGCACAAAGACTCAAACACATCTGGATGGGATTTGTTGCCAGGAATTAGATTAAAGATGTTCCTCTTTTTAAATACGATTCAAAATATTCAACCGAGGGGTGATGCTAGCATTTCTGTTGCCACTGTAGGATTATATTAACTTATTTTAAGTTTATTAGTTGGAACTTTAATGCTACTGATGTTAAAAACATCCACACATCTGTGTTTAGACACAATCACACGCTGAAATCAAAATATCAATCTTTTTTTTCTCACGTTAATCTTTAATCCCAGCAGGATGTTTTTCGCCTCTGATACTCTGAAACTACTCTGTGATGTTTCTGACACATAAAATAATTCTGGTAAAAGAAAAAGATTTTTAGACGGGACAAGTCTTGGTTTTAAATGAACCCATAAACTGTGAAACAAATCCAGATGTTTGAAGTAAAGAAAAGTGTTGTAATCTTTTTGAAGTGATTTCTTTAAAGTTTGTCAAAAATGATTTGAAACTGCTGCATAATGTGATCTGAGGAAAAGATGAATAAACATTGCATAAAACTCTTTTTCCTTATTTTCCATTTTTATTTTTATTATTACATTTGTTATGTCACAAACAAAAAATACTATTAAAGTCATCTCAAATGTAATTTTTAAGGGTTATAAATTGTGTAGCACTAAAACAAAAGTCTAATTTCAGGAATGTGTAGTGAGGGAGGGGTGGTGCAGAGGTTAGAGAAGGTGGGCCTGTGATTGGAAGGTCACCGGTTCAACTCCCCCGGACACCGAATCACCTGCGTTTTTAGAAAGAAGAGCAGCTCCAGTCAAAGTGGGATGGATGCCACCTCTCTGCATCAGACCAGGTTTTCCCCCAAAAGGACTCCAGTTATCTACGTAGCCCACGTTGGTCTTAGAACACCAGCTGGACGCCCAGAGGTTGAACGACGACATACGACAAAACGTCTTCGCTGGTCAGGTTGGGGAGGGGGCCGGAGAAAACAGTGGCTTCGGATGTTATCAGTCCATTAAACGGACATTATTCGTTGTTATCTTATTTTTTTGTCTTACAGGGTTGCATCATCATTCCAACTTTAAGAAGATTTGCTCGGTCCAAATATGGCCATGCAGATCCCGCCTGTATCAGCACAGGCTGGGGCAGATACATAAAACTGGTCATTTAAACTCCAGTAAAGATCTTGTGGATTGAAAGCAAGCAACAGAACCCTTAGAAGGTAACAATTGTAAAGTTCAATAAAATTGTACTTGATGCAGGAAAATGTTTATGAAAAACTTACAAAACCTGTTTTGTCTAAGTGTAGCAGAGCTTTTCAAAGTGTGGGGTGCTTCCATCTTCTCATGCTGGCACACACTTAATTCTTAAATCTACATCCTCACTGTGTTGTTCTTATATACCAATATAAATACGATACTTCACTTGAATAAAGCTAATAAACATTTGAATAAACATTTCAGCACAGATAAGTAATGTGACAATTCAGGTAAGATCACACCTACTGGTTTTATAGTTTTAAATCCACCACACCTTTTTCTACATTTACATGGTACATTGAGAACCAGGTAAATAATTTCCATGCTGTCCACTTGTTGGAACATTACTATTCCTATAACCTGCTGCACATCCTTTCTAGCCTGATCCCTCTGTCTTGCTAATTGGTACAAGTCCTTCTTGCCCTCTTTAGTGTCCAGCCTCCCATGCAACTCATCAAACTCTTTCTGCTTTGCCTTAGTCACCTTCCTCTTTGCTCTATGTTGCATCTCCTTATATTCCTGTCTCCTCTCTTCAGTCCTCTCACTGTCATATTTCTTCTTGGGTAACCTCTTTCTTTGAATGGCTTGGCATGTCAGCCAGTTCTTTCTTTGCCTGTCATTGTCCCCCATATTTAGAGTTGGAACACTCAGTCCCACATTCTTGACTTTCCTCTTCTCCCTCTGTTTCCTGACACGATTCCCTCCTCGTGGTCTTTGACTAACAGTAGCACAATTTCCGCTAGCACCGTGTTTGTGAACAGCACCGGTGGTGGTCATTAACCCGGGCCTCAACTGATCCAATATGGTGTCGCTTAGATGAACTCATGTTAGTTTTGTCAAAAAGTGTTTTAAGTCAGATGCCCTTCCTGACACAACCCTCACCATTTACTGGGGCTTGGGACCAGAACCAAAGATCTACTGGCTTGTGCTCCCTGGCATCTGGTTATAACCCGAAGACCCAAAGTCCCAGCCCAAAAACAAGGTGTGTTAAAGAAAGAGCTCATTTCCAGCTGCCGGGATGAACATTTGGTGACTCACACAGCTGGAATGAGCTGTAAGTAGAACTGTAGAGTCATAAACAAGCTGTCATTTCTGACTGACTCTTAATATATTATTTTCCTTACCTTCAATTGGAATTTGGTGGAGGGAACTCTATGGGCTACATTGGATTTGTCTTATTAGATTTGGGTATCTGATATATCTAAACTCCTGAAATTAAAATTAAAATCACATTTCATAAGTGCTGTGCCCTGTTACATCTTCCTGCATGACCACCAGAGGTTATTAAAGGTTGGTCATCTTTGCTTTTATGAGGTAGAGATACAGGTTTTACTTTCAAAGAGCGTCAAACTCAATGTCACCTGAAGCCATAAAAAAAAAAAAAACTTGTTCAGAGTTAAGGACAAATTTATCTCAGTTGTTTGTTCATGAACTTTACTTTTATCAGACAATTTATGAAGAAAACAGATGACACTGTTGAAAGTGCGTCTTCGCTTAAGTTGTCCTGCAGAAAAACCCAAATCCACGATAAAGTTCAGAGGATGGCTGTATGGATGAACAAGTGAGTAAAAATAAATAAAAATGCTTTTATACATATTTTAAACCTCCTTTGCTGTTGTGTAAAACTTTCAGCAGACTGGATTCTACATCTTCAAATCAAACTTTTTATAATTTCTACCTCTGTGATTTTAACAGCAGAGACTGCAGTTTCAAATGGTTACTGTGTGTATCAGCTCACCTGGCAGTGACTTAAAATGCAAATTTAGAAAGAGGTGAGCAGCTTTTGAAATCAGGTTATTGACGTAATTGCCAGGTGCACAAGGCGCCTCTTCTCAAGTCTGTGGTCAGAAGAATGTAACATGTTACGGTGGCCCTGAGGTGTAAATGAACATTTGAAAAAACAGGATTACATTTGAAAAAAACACATAACAACATTTGCAAAAACTGAATTACATTAAGCAAAAGTGGCCAAAGCGGAAGTGACTGGAATCATGTTTGAATAAAACGGAATCACATTTGAATAAAACGGAATTACATTTGAATAAACAGAATTACATTAAGTCAAAACAGAAGTGGCCAGAATCATGCTTGAAAAAAACTAAACTACATTTGAAAACTAGAAAGTTCCTGGAGAAACTTTGACGGGGACTGCCTATTTATTATTCAATTATTATAAATAATAAATATTAATCATTAATAATATTAAAAAATAATATATTGATAATTTATTAATTATTATAAATTATTAATATAGTTATAATAACAATGAATTAATATTAAATATCAATTATTAATATTAGTAATTATTAATGTTATTATTTGCAATTATTAAAATAAATCATTAATAATTTAAGTTAATTATTATTTTTACTAATTAATAATAATAATAGGTACCTTCCATGCATGTTGAACCAAAATGGCTCCCGACGTTGCTCAGTTTCTTTGAAAAGTTTTCTCCTATTCATTTCCTATGGAAAATTTGTCATTTTCGTTAGCAAAATACGTCGCCATGGTAACACCAATTGCCAATAAAAGTAATAGCACACATCTCGGAGCCGGGCCGGTCGTTTGGATATAACTTTTGTGGGGGTCCACTTTGCGGTTTGGGCCGCATTAAAGTTGAAAAAGATAATCTTTTCAGGTGTAGAATAATAAGTGGGCAGTCACCAACTAGTTCCTGGAGTTGGTGAAATATTGCGTCTTTGTTCGCAAATCACTTTGCCATGGTAACTTGAAATGCCAATAAAAGTAATAGCACACATCACGGGGCCGAGCCGGTCATTTTGATATAACTTTTGTGGGGTAGACATTGTGGTTCGGGCCGCATTTACAGAGATAGAAATGTAGACTCACTTCCAAGGTGTAGAATAATAGGTTCCTGCCATCCCCAAAAACGGAACTACATTTGAAAAAACAAAATTACATTAAGCCAAAGCGGAAGTGGCCAAAGCGGAAGTAGCCAAAGCGGAAGTGGCCAAAGCAGAATTGGCCGGAATCACATTTGAAAAAAACAAAACTACATTTGAAAAAACGGAACTACATTAAGCTAAAGCAGAAGTGGCAAAAGCAGAAGTCGCCAAAGCATAAGTAGCCAAAGTGGAAGTGGCTAGAATCACATTTGAATAAAACGGAATTACATTTGAAAAAACAAAATTTC